TCTTCTTCTGAGAAGTGTCTGTTCAGGCCTTTGGCCCGTTTATTGATTGGGTTGTTTTTTTGGTGCTTAGCTTTTCAAGTTCTTTATATACCCTAGAGATTAGTGCTCTATCTGATGTGTGAGGGGTAAAAATTTGCTCCCAGGTTGCAGGCTCTCTGTTCACCTCACAGATTGTTTCTTGTGCTGAAAAGAAACTTTTTAGACTGAATTCATCCCATTTATTGATTCTTGGTTTTAATTCTTGCACTACAGGAGTCTTATTAAGGAAGTTGGGGCCTAATCCCACATGATGAATATTAGGGCCTACTTTTTCTTCTATTAGACACAGAATCTCTGGTTTAATTCCTAGGTCCTTGATCCATTTTGAGTTGAGTTTTGTACATGGTGAGAGATAGGGGTTTAGTTTCATTTTGTTGTATATGGATCTCCAATTTTCCTAGCACTATTTGTTGAAGAGGCCATCTTTTCTCCAGTGCATGTTTTTGGCACCTTTGTCTAATATAAGATAAATGTTTAAGACAATATGAGATAATATATTTATCTTATATTTAAAGTAATATAAGATAAATGTTTAGTCTCTGTGTCCTCTATTCTGTACCATTGGTCTACCAGTCTATTGTGGTGTTAAATACCATGCTGTGTTTGTTACTATTGCTCTGTAGTATAGTTTAAGGTCTGGAATAGCAATACCACCTGCTTCACTCTTCCTGCTAAGGATTGCTTTAGCTAATCTGAGTCTCTTATTTTTCCAGATGAATTTCATGATGCCATTGGGATTTTGATCAGAATTGCATTAAATCAGTATAGTGCTTTTGGTTGTATGGTCATTTATATTTATTTATTTATTTTAGTTGTAGTTGTATTTATTTATTTTTATGTGGTGCTGAGGCTTGAACCCAGTGCCTCGCACATGCTAGGCGAACACTCTACTCCTGAGCCTCAACCCCAGCCCCAAGTATGGTCATTTTGATAATATTAATTCTGCCTATCCAAGAGCAAGGTAGATCTTTCCATCTTCTAAGGTCTTCTCTGATTTTTCTCTTTAGGGTTCTGTAGTTTTCATTGAATAGATCTTTCGCCTCTTTCATTAAGTTGAGTCCCAAGTATTTAATTTTTGTTTGAGGTTACTGTAAATGGGGTATTTCCTCATTTCCCTCTCAGAGGATTTGTCACTGATACACAGAAATGGCTTTGATTTATGGGGGCTGATTTTATATCCTTCTACTTTGCTGAATTCACTTACTGGTTCCAGAAGTTTTCTGGAGGAGGTTTTTTGGGTCTTCTAGGTATAGAATCATATTGTCAGCAAATAATGCTAATTTAAGTTCTTTTTTTCCTCCTTTAATTTCTTTCATCTAATTGCTCTGGCCAGTGTTTCAAGAGCTATGGAAGTGGTGAAAATAAACA